CCTTCCTTCCTTCCTTCCTTCCTTCCTTCCTTCCTTCCTTCCTTCCTACCTTCCTTCCTTTCTGATGGTGTCCTACTCTGTTGCCCAGGCTGGGATGCAGTGGTGTGATCATAGCTCATTACTGCCTTGAATTCTTCAGTTCAAGGGATCCTCATGCCTCCAACTCCCAAGCATCTGGGAGATGCACGCCACCATGCCCTGCTAATTTTTAGAGTTTTTTTGTAGAGATGAGGTCTTGCCATGTTACCCAGGCTGGTCTCAAACTCCTGGGCTCAAGCAGTCCTCCCACCTCAGCCTCCCAAGATGCTGGGATTACATACATGATCTACTGGACCTGAAACACTTGGATTTTTTTTTACCTCAAAACAAATCAAGCCATGGTCTGGGAAGGGTGAAGAGAGGATGACAGGTTTGCACGATTGAGCCAGGGAGGGCCTGAGGCTTGGGATGGGTCCACATGTCCGGGGCATTATAGGTTGAGAGGGGCTGCGTCCTGCTGAGGCTGCAGTAATGGGAGGTCAGCAGGGCTTGGGGGTGTCGTGGAAGGTTGAGAGGATGAGGTCCAGTCAGTGGCCTCCTTAAGTTCTGCTTTTATAACTAAGTGTCCAGTAGAGCCTATCGGTGTGTTTGCTTTGAAGCTGCAGGAAAGTGGCTAGTGGTCTTTTTTCTCTAGAAGTAGAGGCCGGATGTTTTCTCTGGTGGAAGTGTCCCCTGAGGAGAGAAGCTCCCCAGTGTTCAGGGTCTTGAGGGAACATTGAAAACAGAGCCCCAGTATCAGAATGGAGATCTGCCACCAAGAGGAACTGGTCAGGGGTGCACCTCGGGGTGTTGGAAAGATGGCGGAACCTGAGGGGCATCAGGAGCACCTGGAGGGCGTCCGCACCGCGGGAGGGGAGCCAGCCAAGGGTCAAGGAGAGAAGGAGAGTGAAGGCCTACTGGGGGGACCCGGTGGTGGGACATGAACCACCAGCTCTAACACCAGAGACATCCAGCGTCCGGCTTCCACGTTTTATTTTCTATATCGTATGTTCCTTCCGCATCCCACTTAAAGCTGTGGGATCTGCTACCCCGTGGCCTTAGCCATGCTTTGGAGAATTGAGAGAGGTGGGCTGGGGGCAGGGAGGTGGAAGGAGAGCCGCAGAGCTTGGCAGAGCTGGTTAGGAGAGAGTAAGAGGCGAACTGCTGGCCCCAGGGCCAGAAGCTGGCAAGGGACGAGTGGAGGGAACGGATTCTGACGCTAAGGAACGTCCTAGAAGCTCAGGGAAGAAGAGCCTCAGATGGTTGAGCAGGCTGGAGTTCTCCTTCAGGGGCCCCTCCACAGAAGGACATTGTTTGCCCCCCAAGTTTGAGATGTGGGACAGGCAGGCCGTGCTGGAGGACAGGGCAGGGAGAGGGTGCTCCATGAGGGGTATCCGCGGGACCCCCGCTGCAACCCCGGAAGTGGCCCCGTTGCCTGGGAAGATTCCACAGAGCTCAGTCGGCCTGTGTCCCAACATGCCTGGGACTGGGTCTGGGAGCTGCAGCAGCCAGGCCTGGCTCAGGAACGTTAACAAAGTGACAGCAACAAATACTGGGCGGGGGGAGGCGTCCGGAAGGACAAATCCAGGCAGCCTGTTTGGCCTTCGAGGTTCTCCTACCCCGCGCACCTGGGACACTTCTTGGAAGTGATAACAGCTTCCCACATCCGCTGGGTCTGGCTTGCCTCCTAGCCTCTGGCCCTGGGGCCCGCAGGCCTCCTCCTGCCTGCTGATCACCCTGGCCCGGTGCGGTCCCCACCACCAGGCAGGCCCCGCGTTCCCTGCATTCTCTCCCAGCCTGTGCTGACCGGGCTACCTGGCCCTTTTTGTTTTCCTAAAGGAGAATTTTGACATTGAATTAAATGTTTTCGGTAAAGTCCTTTTCTGTCTGGCCCTGTCTCTCGCTGGAGCGGTCAGAGGGGCCACGGAGGAGGATGGGGGCGTGGAGAGCCCCTCACTGCCCTTCCTGGATCCCAGCCCTCCTGGCCTCACACAGGCCTCTCACATTCCAAACTGCCTGCCTGGTTTGTTTTTTTAAGAAAGCAATAACCCAGCACATTCGCTGTGGTTCTTTATAGCTTTCCATATGTAGAATTGCTCTTTCTCTCTTCAGTTTTTCCAATGTTTTTTTTTCTTTTAAATAAATGCTCATAAATTTTGCTGGTGTAAAGGATGAAAAAACATACCTAAAAAGAGCAGTTTGTTGGAAAAAGAAAGAAAAAAACACCACCCAGCAGAATGTTGAAAAACGGAGCTGCTGTTCAGCGTTATATACCTCAGAAAATGGGTGGGAGAACGTTCAGGGCTTATGAAAAGGAGAAGATTCTTCTGCAGCAGCTCTAAAACTTGCACGTCTACGTCTTGAACTTTTATCCGATAAACTTAAGCCGCCGCCATCATCTCTCTGGGCTTGCTGAGGAGACCCAGAGTGTGGGCCCTCAATCCGCCGGGGAAGGAAGCCGCAGTGGGGCTGGGACTAGAGCATCGCCCTGGCTTTAGTCTTCTGCCGGCTGTTAAATTCACATGGGGCCTCGTGCAAATCTCATGATCCAGGGGCCCCTGTCTTCATAACTGCAAAATCAGTGGGTTGGACTAAAACATCTGGAAAATTCTATGGCTTTAGGATTAAGTCCATCACTTGATAAACAAGAACGGGCTCTGAGGCCTCTTTAGATCCTCCCTGCCCCTCAGAGAAGCTGCTGCAGACTCTTCTGGCTCCTTCCAAATACCCGTTCTTCCCTTCCTCTCTGCCCACAGAACTCTGATTTTATTTGGGGCAGCAATGTGCCCAGCTATAGAGCAATTTCCCAGCCTCCCTTGCAGCTGGGCGTGACCACATGACACAGTTTCAACAAATATGGTGTAAGGTGAAGTCTCTGGACCTACGACCTCAGCTGGCTCATTTGTCTCCCCCTTGGTCTTCCTGCCTGCGAATCTCCTAGGCCCCACTCCACAGAGACTTGGATTTAGTAGGGGTGGGTTAAGCTCCCAGGTGATGTGATGCCTGTGGTCTGCAGATCACACTGCTTTAGGCTAGCGCCAAGGCAGCCCCCAGCAAATACTCTAGAGCATGACTGGCCTCCCCCTGTAGCAACCACCTCCAGCCCTGGTGGACAATGGCAGAGCCCCAAAGCTCAACTTCCCCCGGAAGACTTGCATATATTCTTCCTGGGAGGCAGGGGAACAGGGATCAGTGGCGATATTTGAAGATCCCTGAGAACTCCATGGGCAGTTGGTAAAAATGCAGATTTGGGGGGTCCACCCCCAGATATTCTAACACTGCCTGGAAATGGAACCAAATCCCTTCCTTTTAAACAAGTCTCCATGGATTCTGCTGCAGCTGGGCCACTGGCCACCCTTGGACAAACAGTGACATAGCAGTTTCAGAGTTCAACAAACCCAAGTTCAAATCTTTCTCAAGATTTTCTCTTGTATAGCTTTTAAAACGTCTCCACACCTTCTTTCCTTATCTAAAAATATGAGCTTATTAGTACCAGGAATACCCTCCCCAAGAGGATGAAAGAAATATTTGTATAGCGGGCATAAAAGTTATCATCACAGACTCCACTGGGCAAAGGTATAACTTGCTTTATTTACCTCTAGCTTATATTAAGTTAGCCCATGACCTCGAATTTCCACTGGCAGCACAAAACTTGGGGTTGGAAATTCTAGCTCACTCAGACCAATTCCAGCTTAAAAAAAAAAAAAAAAAAAAAAAAGTCTCTTGTGGGAAACTTCAGCCAGAATCAAGATTTTCTCCTCCTCTGCTGCTGTGGCTGTTCCCCTGAAGATGACCTGGGTTCTTCAGGGGTTAATTACCCTCACTTCCTCTGGGCTTCTGTGTGGCACAGCTGGCCCTGGGCATCTGCATGCCTAGCCAGTGCCCCCTGTGCCACCATGGCGGCTGTCTGCACAGCCCCAGGCTTGGCCTTCTGGCCTCTATCCTAGGCCTCCTCACCTGCCAACCTTGTTTCTTTGTTCAGAGTTCTACACAGCTGCACCGCTGAGACATGCTCGGCCCCTGTGGCTGCCTCTAATCCTCCGTCTTGTTCCCTTGTTCAGCCATCAGTCATTTGCTGCTTAGACGCCATCTTGTATATGAGCCTCACTTGGGGTTTTAATCAACTCCCATCCCCTTCTTCTATCAACTGGCCCAAGCACTGTCTCCCTTCACAGGTTGAATGGAAAGAGAGGCTAAGTTAATATAAGCGAGAGATAAATAAGGCAAGTCATACCTTTACCCAGTGGAGTCTGTGATTCTAACTTTTATGCCTTCTACACAAATATTTTGGTTTCACTCTGTTTTCTTCCCTGCCTCTGTATCCTCCAGGTGTCAGCTCGTGGCCATCCAGTTTTACACACACACACACACACTAGCCTGGCTCTTGCAAATGCAAGTCTTGCTCTCAAGACTAATGTTTCTGCCTCACACTTACACAACCTCATTTGGCCCTTCCTGTTTCTAGGGGGTATCAGCCTTCCTGAGAGCAGAGCAAACAGCCCCGATATCACTGCTGCCCAGTACAGCCTGCCTGTCCCACCATTTCCCAGAAGGCAGCAGGCGGAATGAAGAGGTGAAAGGTACAGGGAAGCCTGGGGCTGAGGGAAGGCACTTCATTCATATCTCACAAGAGTGCCCCTTGAACTCTCTTGGGAAAGTGCCTGCTCAACCCTGCTCAGAGATGACAACCAGGATGGTGTCGGTGATGACAAGGATGAGGAGAAGCTCTTCTTCCTGGATACGTGGTGCTTTGCTGTGCTGGCTCCGACTGGCTCTGACCCTGTGTTCCCAAGACCAAGGGACCTTTGAGGACACCTCAGGGGAGCAGGTCACAAGCCAATAACTTCGTGTTGGGTTGAGGGGTGACTGGCCACCTGTGAAATGTGCCCCTGCTTCCTCCCCACATGGAAAATAAAGCAGACCGAGGTGAAGGCTGCCTGTTTGGGCCCACCTTTCCATCAGAAATGCTCTCCTTCAGAGCAAACACTGTCCCCTCCGAGGCCATCTTAAAATGTAAATATGCTGGGATGCTGTGTGCCTGAGTAGCTCCCAGGCTGACTTCTCTGTTTCAGGCTCTGAGAACACTGCAAGAGGAGAAAAGATTCAGCCTCTACACCCTAATTTTCCTGAAGGCAGCATGGGAGTGAAGAGGCTTCCCCCGCATTTCAGCCTCCCCTGGCGAATGAGAAGCAGTCCTCCCATCCCCTGGTCAGTGCTGAGCCCATAGGGGTTGTAGCCAACACGAGAGGCAGTGAAGCCTGTTCAAACTTGTATTTATTTTCTAAGAGATCCAGATGAGGGCACAGGGGACGGGGGCACATAACATGGCTTTCGGGAGGAGCCGCAGACCTTGGGGAGAAGGATGGAGCCTCCTCTCTGCCCCGGTCGTGCTGCTAGTAGGCATGAGTCAGGGTGTGCTCCATGATGGTCCGAATCGCCATCCATGTCTCCTCAGCTGTGGGGATGATCTGTGTGGCCGGCAGCAGGAAGCCATAGTGCCCAGTGTCCCGGAGCTCAAAGCTGAAGGCGTATTTGATGCCACTGTCATAGGCCCAGTCGACAGTGATCCCACTGGCCACATCTAGACACAAAAGGTCCAAAATGTGTCCCCCAAAAAGAAGGGGATGTGGCCACAAGGTACAGAGGCATCCTGAGTGGAAAGTGGACTCTGGGAGCCAAACCCTCACCCAACCCAGACCACACCAGGCTTCCTGCCCGGGCCTCAACCAGATCACAGCCGTGCACCCAGCCCATTCTCGACGCCTGCCCACCAGGCTTAGGAACTTGCAGTAAGCCAGGCACTGGGAGCTGTGCACAAAAGCTGCCAAGAAACAGCTGCATGGGTACCACTGTTCACCTTTCTACCCAGTGTGGGAGGCAGCTTTGGGCCAGCCCAGCTAGATCCATGGCACTGCCCTGCAGCCAACCCCAGGTGGATGTGATGTTTGAAGCAGGGCCAGGAGAGGTTCACTCACAGAGGGTGGTGCTGATGCTGCCAAAAATGTACTCGGTCCCGTGGACCTCATACAAGGCCTTCACCGCATCCTTGGCAAGATTGTACTGCAAGATGACATTGGCAGGGTGAGAGGCGGAGGCTCCTCATGGCTCCCACACACTCCCCACCCTCACGAACTGATGAGAAGCATGGGTTTAGGAGCCCTGGAAGTTGAAGATTCAGGTGGCCCTTGTGAGAAGGGAACACAGCACCTCCGGCTTTGAACTTGATCACACATGGGAACAGCAAGCTCCCCCACCTGGCCCTACACCACAGGCCTATCTGTCTAGACCCTTGCTTTCAGAATAACAATCTGAACCCTTTGGGAGTATGACAGATACGAATTTTCCAGAGAAGGAGTCTCCTCTCCCCAAGCCCTATGCAGCCAGTCTCACCAGCTCCCTCTGATTTGAAACGGGCTCCAGCGATCGGCCATAAGGGTACATGAGCATCTGAGAGTAGCTGTGGATGGAGATCAGAGCCTTGAAGTTGCCATGGGCTGTGATGAAGTTCACTATGGCAGCCACCTCCGGCTCTGACTGGGGAAAGGGCCCGTGATAAGTCTCTGAGCAGGGGTTGCTGTTAGAACCATTTCCTGGAAGTAAAAGAAAGCCACCCAAAGAGTTGAATCCCCAGGCGTGATACAGACAGTGCTCACAAACTATCTATGTGTTCCCCTATATTTCCCAGCCTCCTTTGCAGTATGATTAAAGTCATGTGACTATTCTGACCAATGAAAAAGTGAGCAGGAATGACGTGGCACTTCCGGGTTGAGATTGTTCAGAGCAAGTGTGACTTCTCCAGGCTCTTTTCTACCTGTGTGGCTGGAAGCAAAAAAAATTCTAGATAGAAGCAGCTTCCGGGTCCCTCTCTCAGTGCTGGAAGAAAGCTGCTAAGGAGAGTCACCTATTCACATTGGACTTTGTGCGCATGAAAGACAAACTTATTGTGTAAGCCACTGAGATCGGGAGGGGTGTTTGTTACTGCTGTATCCTCTAGTCTAATATGTCAGAGACTGCAGCTGCACCATAACCCACAGTTCTGAAGCCCTGCAGGTAGCCCCCTCAGCTTGTCCTGTGGTTCCTTTAGGAAGGTGGGCCTGGCTCAGAAGTTGCATCCAGAGGAAACTCTAAGTCTCCGTCCCAACCCTGGCTTCCCCTCCTGAGCAGCAGCGTCTTTAGGCTGCCCCTTCCTGGGTTTGCCGTCAGTTGAAGGCTCAGAGTTGGTGTCAGCTCAGGATTTGCCACAGCCATGGCCCCAGGTGCGCCACGAACTTGGGGTCTGGGGATATAGCAAACCAATATGGGAGAATAGTTCCCCATAGTTGCCTGAGGCTGCCCTGGGAGCCAGAGGTGCAAAGAAGTCTTTGAAAATTCTTCTTGGGGACTTAAGATGAGGGAGAGAACAAAGAGGAGTGGGGTTTTTATTCTTTTCCCAAATTTCATTTGTTTCCATCTCCTCCTAGACTCTTCTGCCCTTGCCCCATCTCTTTTCTTCCTCTTCCACTCCTTCTGTTTTCCCTTATTCCCAAGGAGAGGGCTGGGCTGCACTGGGCTGTTCAAGACTTGGTAGGCTAACTTGGAAGGAGTCATCCCAGTTTCTCCTCTCTCTCCTTTTCCCTGGAATGGTGGCACCATTTAGAGATCAGGGATCACCTCAACTTCTGAAGCCTCCTGAGGAGGCCATAGCATTCCTCTTGACTCCTGGGGTTGTGGGCTGCCCCATGGACCACTTCAGATGATACTCTAGGAATGCAGCCCACGAGTCCTCTTCAAGAATTCATGGGAGGCCAAGCACGGGTGGGAGGGATGGTCTACAGATTACTCATTACATAGCCATTCAATAAAGGCAGCAACAAAACCATAAACAAAATCGTCCAGCCTGAGTCACCAACTCAGACACACTCTTGCTGACCCCAGGGAGGCCCAGGAGCATACCCCCTCTCAGTTTAGCGGTCCTCACCTGGAGTGGGGACCCTGGTTAGCAGGGCATGTGCCTGCAGAGCAAGGGGGTGAAAGGCAGCCCCCAGGATGGAATCAGCCCAGCTAACAGCGGCCTGGTTTGTTGTGTCTGTCGGGAGCCCCTGCACCTGCTCCACTTGATGAATGACAAACAGCAACAGATGCGCAGAGTGGGGGAGGTTGAAGGCTTTGTCTGCTTTTGCAGCCCACGCACAGAAAGCCGTTCCCCTGCCAACGACCAGGTGGCTTTGCCCAAATATGGAGAAACACTTCAGGCCATTAGTTCTGGTTTGAGCTAAGCAGAATAAACTAATCTTCCCTCGCCAAATGGGAATTAGCTGCCTGCATCTCTGACGTTGGAAGTCAAGGTTCTCTGAGCCTGCCTGTTTCACAAGTACCTGCTAATGGATTCATTAGCTATTTATTTTTCCTTCTCTAAAAATGTAATTTGTAGCAAGGGGAAATCTCTGGAAGGACATGGTAAATTGTTAAAAGCAGTGATCTTTGAGTGGTGGGATTATGGGAGCTTTTTGCCCCCTCTGGGCTTTTTTCCGTAATTGTTTTGTACATTGTGTGTATACAGATTTTTTTTCCTGTGGCAAGACCCACAGAAGTTATTTCCTTTAAGAGGCAATTTATCTTTCTACCAGCCAGCCCAGCACGGGGTCCATGGGTACTCACTCCAGTCAGTGCTGAGGGGCCACTGGATACCCACCCGGGCAAGCGTCTGTTCATTTGGAGGTAGAAATGCCTAATTTTGCATGGTCTTGTTCCCTTACACAAGCAGTTACAACCCCCACACTGTGAGCTAGGGGCCTCACTCTCTGCTTTGGGGCCAGCCTGATTTTTTTTTTCTTTTCCTTTTCTTTCTTTTTTTTTTTTTTTTTTTTTTTTTTTTGAGACGGAATCTCACTCTGTTACCAGGCTGGAGTGCTGTGGCGCAATCTCGGCTCACAGCAACCTCCGACTCCCTGGTTCAAGAGATTCTCCTGCCTCAGCCTCCCCAGTAGCTGGCATGCGCCACCACGTCCAGCTAATTTTTGTATATTTAGTAGAGACGGGGTTTCATTGTGTTAGCCAGGATGGTCTCAATCTCCTGACCTTGTGATCCACCCTCCTCAGCCTCCCAAAGTGCTGGGATTACAGGTGTGAGTCACCACGCCTGGCCAATTTTTCAATGAGGACAGACCCCAAGAAGCCAGATTTTCAAAGCAACGGGCATCCAGATCTAAAATGCTCTCATTGGTTTGGACGCCAGCCTGTAGGTCTGATTATCAACAGCAATGACACTGTCCCCTGTGAAGCCAAACCCTGAGTCCCCTATGGAGTGCAGATGCCACGTGTGGGGGCCAAGGCTGTGTCTGTTCTGGAGACTCTGTCATGACTAGACCCATCAAATTGTCCTGCCCATCAAATTGTTGTATTCCCATGGTCCATGTACCTGTCTCTGAGCTTTCTGGAAGCCTCAGTTTCCCAATCCCCGTGCCCCTCTCATGGTAGTGGAGATTATCAGAGAAGAACACCAAGGAACTCAGGAGAAAGCTGCCCCCTCCCTCTCACTGGAATCAGACAGCTCTGCAGATATGTGCCATGGTCATAAAGTAATGGGTCAAAAATAAAAACAGGCTCAGGCCAGCCTTGATGATAAAGAATTATCTTGAGGCCGGGTGCGGTGGCTCATGCCTGTAATCTCAGCACTTTGGGAAGCCCAGGCAGGTGATTCACTTGAGCCCAAAAGTTCAAGATCAACCCAGGAAACATGACGAAACCTTGTCTCTAAAAACTTTTAAAAAAATACAAAAATTGGCTGGGCATGGTGGCTGACACCTATAATCGCAGCACTTTGGGAAGCTGAGGCAGGCGGATGACCTGAGGTCTGGAGTTTGAGACCAACCTAACCAATATGGGGAAACCTATAAACCCTGTCTCTACTAAAAATACAAAAATTAGCCAAGTGTGGTGGTGGGCGCCTGTAATCCCAGCTACTCAGGAGGCTGATACAGGAGAATTGCTTGAACTCAGGAGGCAAAAGTTGCAGTGAGCCAAGATTGCACCACTGCACTCCAGCCTGAGCAACAGAGAAAGACTCCATCCCCCCACCCCCAAAAAAATTAGCCAGGTGTGGTGGTATGCACGTGTGGTCCTGGCTACTTGGGAGGCTGAGGTGGAAGGATCACCTGAGCCCAGGAAGTTGAGGCTGCAGTGAGCCATGATCACACCACTGCACTCCAGCCTGGGTTACAGAGCAAGACCATGTCTCAAAAAAAAAAAAAAAAAAAAAAAGAAAGAAAAAAAGGAAAGGAAAGAAAAAAAAAGTGGTTCATTCTACTAGATACTTGAAACTATTACCCTGGCCTCCCCAAAGGGCAGAGTTCAGGTCCTAGCTCTCAGGGAACGAGTTCAGAGGCTTTTCTTTGTGTTGTGCTCCCTTCGGGGCAGGGCTAGGGATATTTTGGGGGCATCATAAACTCTGGATTTTGAACAACAAGCAAAACTACTTTGTACCTCCTTTAAACCTTTCTCTGCCATATTTAGGATTTTTTTTTCTTTTCTTTTTTTTTTTTTTGAGACAGAGTCTCTCTCTGTCACTCAGGCTGGAGTACAATGGTGCAATCTCAACTCACCACAACCTCCGCCCCCTGGGCTCAAACAATTCTCCTGCCTCAGTCTCCCAAGTAGCTGGGACTACAGGTGGGCATCACCACACCCAGCTAATGTTTGTATTTTAGTAGAGACCGGGTTTCACCATGTTGGCCAAGATGTTCTTGATCTCTTGACCTTGGGATCCGCCCACCTCGGCCTCCCAAAGTGCTGGGATCACAGGCGTGAGCCACCATATTTAGGAATTAACCCATGCAGTTAGTCTTCATTTCAGGAGCTGGGGGGTCCCTTTAATGTTTCCCATGAAGGCTTGGCATATGTGTACATTCAACACACACACACACAACCTCTCCCCATGCCCACAGCCCGTCTGAGGCATGTGCTTGCCTGTCCCTGGCCTTGACTCATGCATATTAGCTGACTGCATTGTCCCGTGCCTCCCAAATTGGGTCAACATGATCTGACTGAGTGGGAGAACCTGCCGCAGACCAACACCTCTTCTCCAGCCCTGTCCCAGGACAGCAGATTGCCATACCTCCAAAGCCTGACTTCCAATTCCGGTTGAGATCCACGCCAATGCAGAAGGTTCCAGGTCTGATGGACTTGTTCTTCCGCCATAAGCGGTTCTGGGAAAGCCCAGGTCAGGTGACCTCATTCACTGGGCCCATTCCCAGGAATGGGAACCTCTCCTATCCTGGCCTGTGGGGGTGGGGGAGCCTGGTGGGGCAGGGAGGAGCAAAGGGAAGGAATTGCCAGGACAGGATAGGGCTGGCATGGGGCTGGGCCAAGTCTGCAGCTCAGATACTGTGTAGTTGAAGTTGGGGTCTGGGGAGAGGCCTGGGCACAGGCTGCCAATAGTGGTCTTCCCTGGGCAGCAAGAAAGAGGTCAGAGGGCAAGAGGCTGCAGGTGCAGTATCAGAGCAGCCCACCGGCCTTTGGTGAGGCTTTCTGCAAAGCGGCCCTGAAGGGGCTGGTTCCCAAAGCACAGTGACCTTTTCTCCATCCCCCTAGGGCTTCCACCCTCCCCAGGTGCCCTCACCATGCTGTGGGTAAAAGCAAACCCATCAGGGTTTGTGACCAGCTCTATGAAGATGTCCATGGCCTTCAGTATGTCTGTCAGGATGGGGTCTTTGCCATAATCACTGACAATCTGCAAGAAAGGGTGAGGAGAGATGGGAAGCCCTGGGAGGTGCTGCAGGACATTTGCACAGCAGGTGGCTGCAGGAAGTGGGGGCATGAAACCCTCAGGTGTATCTTTTGTGCAGAACCGAAGCCTTGGATTTTCAACAACTAGAAGGCAGGGGATCAATGTGGGCTCTGTGCTGCAAAAGGCAAGAGCACGAGGCAGCTGCTCCAAAGACCAGGAGGGCAACAGCACCCTAAGTGTCACTGTTCAGCAGAAGGTGCCCTTCAATAGTAAGCCCCAACCCCCAGGTGCAGCCTCCATCATGGGCGCACCTTGACTACAGGTCCCTGCTGACCTGATTGGCAGTCCAGATGCCGGTGGCGTGGGTGATCCACTCCCGGGAGTGAATTCCAGTGTCAATCCAGATGGCTGGGTGCCGAGAACCTCCAGTGCTGAACTGAGAAAAAGAATCCGGCCCAAACCGAGGTTTAAACTCAGACAGCTACTGTCTCCAGGATGCCCGGAAGGAGGTTCTGGAGGCATCCTCACTGCCCGGGGCGGCTTTGCGCACCAGGTGAGAGGGTGTGTGTGCAGGTACCTGTCCATGTGCCCAAAAGTGCGCAGGTGTGAGGGCCTTTGGCAATATGGTGGTGCCCTTGGGGAGCAAAGTGATCCATCTAGAAGGACAGAATTTCCCAGGATTGAAAGTAACTGAAGACCAGGGTTTCTCAAACTCTAATGGGCACATGAGTCTCCTGAGGCTTATTCCAGTGCAGATTCTGACTTAGGAGGTCTGAGGAGGGGTCTGGGGTTTGGCATTTCTTTTTTTTTTTTTTTTTTTTTTTTTTTGAGACAGAGTTTTGCTCTTGTTACCCAGGCTGGAGTGCAATGGTGTAATCTCAGCTCACCGCAACCTCCGCTTCCTGGGTTCAGGCAATTCTCCTGCCTCAGCCTCCTGAGTAGCTGGGATTACAGGCACGTGCCACCATGCCCAGCTAATTTTTTCTATTTTTAGTAGAGACGGGGTTTCACCATGTTGACCAGGATGGTCTCGATCTCTTGACCTCGTGATCCACCCGCCTCGGCCTCCCAAAGTGCTCGGATTACAGGCATGAGCCACCGCGCCCGACCAAGGTTTGGCATTTCTAGTAAGCTTCCAGGGGATGTTGATACTGCTATGCAGGGACTGTGCTTTGAGTAGCAAAGATTCCAACAACATTAGAGAGAGAAGACCACAGCCCCTGGAGAAATGGAAGCAGGGACAGGTGAAGTCAAGTCCCAAGTTACGTGAGTCCACTTGGCTGTTCAGAAGAGCCCACCAAGAATTATTGAGAGTGGCAGTAGGCACCTATCTTTCCTGACAGCTGATGCTAAATGCCCCGCAGGGTCCACACTCCTGGGTGCCCTTTTGGGCTCAAACTAAGAGTTGCTTCCTGAGGGCTCTGCATTCACTTCTCCTACTTCCTTCATGACCTAGGGAACTGCAGCATCCTGAGTTTGCTTGAATTCTGTTCCAGTGGCCGCTGTGAAGGGTTGGGAAGCTTCTCTATAGGCTCTGGCCTGTCTGCAGGGCTGTCTGAGCCAGATGACCTCATTAGCAAGTGGGCCCTCTGTGTACCTCTGTGTACCTCTGTTCCTATTAAACGGATAAAGCAACTGAGGTAACAGAAAGAATGGCAACTCATTCACACTCACACCCCAAGTCCAGAGTGACAACTGCCACTCTGCAGCCTAACCCCTTGGCCATCCTCCCACCTACTTTCTGACCAGGGACATGCCATGTCACCACACTGTCACCTCTTCATACCTACAAGGGTGGATCTCTGAATGTCACAACCTCAAAGCTTATACGTCACCTGGGGACAGGAGTATACACATTGTCCTTCTCCGCAAAACCCCCACCCAGCCACTACCCCACATGAGATCAGTCTTATGCCAGAGGGCCTCAATGTAGAGTCTACAAGTTGACACCATTGGCTTTTTACCTTCAGGACAAGAATGGTCCGGTTTTCAAAGCTGTTGCCAATGTGAATTTTTGAGACAATATCAGAATGCTCCATTACAAAGTTGTCAATCCAGCTATATATCTGAAGGGAAAGAAGTGTGTAAGATTGGCAATTACACAGGATGAACACCACGGCCTCTCTGAAGGTTCTCTGTGCCCCTTCCCACTCTCCTCAATGCTTTCCCACCTCCTCAGAGAATCTAAAAGAACACAGATAAAGAATTGCAAAAGTAGAGCATTCCCTCAGAGCTAAAGGAAGTGAGTTGTGGTCATGCTGGATTCCCAGGCTCCTTGCTCTGTGCCTTTGCCTGGGAGAACAGTGTGTGCTGAGTCCGCTCAAATCCCCAGGCTCGACCCACACGGCTCTCTCTGGTTGGAAATTCTCTCTCTTGCCTCCATTCTTTGGCCTGTTCAATCCATTTGACAGATCTCACAGACCATGTAGTGTTGTTTTTATCTTCTTGCTCCTTTTAGACTGGAAGGCCCTTGAAGGCAGGGTTCTTGTTTTATTTATCTTTGGTATCAATAAATAGTGACAGACTGTATTATTTCATTCTCTTGTTCTTTCAATACATGGAATTGAATTAACAAATATATGAAAGAAAATGGATTTTCTATTCCATGACTTGTGAAGTGGGAAAAGTGATTATGATAATGGATGGATGATATCAATAATGTTATGTCCTTGACACGCAAAATGAGACCCGTGCCTTGAGTTCCTTTCTGGAGTGGGCATCCCTGCACCCTCCGTGTTCATTCTTCTTTATAAACAAGTCGCAATTAGCTATACCTGCCCTGGCTGACTGTAACTATGATCATGAATTTTCTCCAAGTGACGGCACTCCCTTTTATTCTAAAAATACGGCTCTCCAATTTCCCTGGCTTCCTGCCCCTCATATATACCCCAGCACCCACAGCTGGGGCCATGAACACCAGGGCTGGTCATGGACAGGCTGAGAGCCCTAGGTCCCCAGCCATAGGATTAGATGTGTGTAAGAGTTAAAGAAAGAGGAAAGAAACACAAAATGCAGCTTAACAGTCAGGTTTATTTAAGAGGAATAAATCTGAGAGGGGCTTCTGGTCAATTTTTGTCCATTTTATAACTATAAAGACTGGATTTAGGCAGTTTTTTAACCTCAGGAAACTTAGAATTGTGATGTTTGTTCAAGATGATGATGCTCCTGCTCTGTCAAGATGAAGGTAGCTTCTACCTGCTCTATTCTGGCCCCTAATGGGTCCCTGCCTAGGAGACCCATTACTCTGCCGTGTTCCTGCCTAGGGCTATACAGCTGAACTACTGTCCCCTCTATCTGAATCCTGGCTTCTGGACCCCTTTGAAGCTGACTCTCTGCCTAGCAGACCTAATGTCTACTGTACAGTCCCCAAGTGTCAGTCACAGTCTCCCATAAACCCTAGAGTCCTTCACTAGTTTCTGCCTGAGTCAGAAGACCCTAAGGAGCCCAAAGATACGAGAGAGCCCAGAGCTTCCCTGGGCAGACCTACTTCCTCCAGGTTGTGGTATGCGGAGTAACTGAAGCTGCTGGTGCTGCGCTCCAGCCGGCGGGATTTTGCCATGGCCTCTCTTTCTTCATCCAGCAGCACCTGGGTAATGAAGAACACATATTGGAAAGGAAGGGGAGAGCTGGGCTGGCTATGCCTCTTCTGAGCCCTGCCTCTGCTGGCTGTGCATAAAGACAGCAGCAACACAGGAGAATGAGCCACCCTGAGTGTGAACTACACAACACAAGGAAGCTCCAGTTTGCTGAGTGACTCTTCTGCCTGGCAAACTAGCAGTCATGCTGCCATTTCCCAAATGAGCACAGGACAAGGAGTCCAGAGAGCTGGGTTCTAGGTCTGCCTCTACCACTAACTGGCTACGGAACTTGCTGTGGCCTTAGTTTCCTCTGCCAGAAAATTTGGAAAGCAATATCTGCCTTGCCACCTCATAGGATAAAATGTAATCATGGATTTGAAGGTGTTTTTTTGGGGGAAAAAAGAGGTGCTCATGGTCTACTGCCAACATTCCTTTTGCACCTGATAAACACTCTGTTGATTCAGGACCCTAGCTGGACCATGTGCACTGACCCCCTGGAAGAAGCAGAGGGTTCCTCTGACCCCCAACGTTAACTCCACTTCCAGGAAATAGCCTAGACAACCGGTATGCAAGCCATTCAGAATGCCAGGCATGGCCAAAGTCAGTCCAAATCATTATGATTCATGTGCCAGTGGTCTTTCACTCACCTCCTAAACATGTCTGGGTGAGCCAAAAGCAATGTCCTTGGGTATCAACATGGAGTCAGCATTCAAACCTTACATGGTACTTCCTGCTGCCCATACAGAGGACAGTGTAGTGCCTGGTTGGCTTGACCACTCACTCACTGCTCAGACCAGCAACATCATCTTGGGACATTTTTCCCTGCTTGGGTCACAGTGAGATGAGCTAGTGTCCTTCACCCAAACTCATGCCCTTACATCAGCATCCAGAGGCCAAGGCACCCCAGGTTTCTGCACCAACTGTCCAGTGTGGGAACTACCTGGGTCCTTTGCCACAGAGGACGCTGAGAAAGCATCCTCTTTATCTGTTGTTAATCCTCAACATTAACCCAAGTTGCCCTTCCTTCGCAGCACTGGGCCACAACTAAATCTTGCCAATTACTTATTTGGGGCTAGAGCCTTAGTTGACCAAGCTTCTTTATCTTCACGATCTCACTTGATCTGGTCAGATGACCCGATAACAGGACAGAAATGAGCTATTTGTGTTAGCGCTAAAGCAGATTGGAGAGGTAAAGGGACTTAATGGCAAAGCTAACAAGTGGCAGAGGTGAGATGAGAACCAGTTATCCTAGTCTGTAGTCTTGGGTTCCTTAAGGCCAACTATCAAAACTAAAGGCCAACACTAATAACATATATACAGGCTGGGCATGGTAGCTCACACCTGTAATCCCAGCACTTTGGGATAGGATTGGGGTAGGAGGATAGCTGAAGCCCAGGAGATTGAGAACAGCCTGGGCAACAAAGGGAGACCCTGTCTCTATAAAAAATTAAAACTGAAAAATTAGCCAGGCTTGGTGATGTGTGCCTCTAGTCCCAGCTACGTAGGCTGAGGCAGGAGGATTGCTTGAGCCTGTGAGTCAGAGGCTAGAGTGAGCTATGATTGAGAGTAAGTTATGATCGCACCACTGTACTCTAGCCTTGGCAATGGAGCAACACTCTATTTCTAAACACACGCACACACAAACACACACACACACACACAAACACACATACACAGATATGTTTGTGCGTGTGTGCATGTGTGTGAACAGAAAGAGCATGCAAATGTTAACAACTAAAACCTCCACTGTACTATTTTTGCAATTTGGAAGTTTTTTACAATAATGAAAAATCAAAGACCCCTGAACATAAGAACACAAGACACTAAAATGCCAAGAATATAGACCAAAATGTTCACAATGCCTGCTAAGATAGAAGAAGGCGAATTTTGAGTAAATCTTTTCTCTATTTTTACATTTTGGCAATGTGCTTATCCTACTTCAATAAGTAGGAACTTTTAAATGAATAAATAACAGCCAAAAGGCTACTGTGTGTAAGCTCTTTTAGGCTGACTGATGGTGCCATGGACGCTATGGCAACCCCCATGACCCACACGTACACCTCTGGAGGGCCTTCTGGAATTAGAAAACCTGAAGTAACTAGAAGACCATGAAAAACAGAAGAACGATTAACCCCTGCGGTGCCTAAGTAACTTGTGACGTTCTTCTATTGTTTTTTTATTCCAGCCCCAATCACGTTGGACTTTGTAACCAACCTTGGTCAACCTTGTGACTCCAAACCCTATGACCCCCTCCCACCTTGCAAGCCTACGACCCCCTCCCTGCTTGCAAAAACTCCACCCTAAACCATAACTTCTGTAACTTTCCACTGCTTACCCCAAACCTATAAAACCAACTCCTATCCCACCGCCCTCCGCTGACTCTCTTTTTGGACTCAGCCCACCAGCACCCAGATGAATAAACAGCCATGTTGCTCACACAAAGCCTGTTTGGGGCGTTTCTTCATTCAGAGCGTGCATTTTAACACTGCGGAGTCTTCCTTCCCACCCCACCTGCCGTAGATGAGGCACAGCCTAATGACTCACTCATCCCCAAGGCCTAGTGGGCTCACTTAGAATGCTCAAGTCCGTAGATTTCAAAATGGGACTGGAAATTGATGTTTGGGGCTCACTTTATTTTTAAGCACCGACTCCATGCGAGGCAATTACAGTTGCCATGTTTTCCAGCTGCACTGGCCGGCGGCGGGCACAGCTGGGATTGCTGGGTAAGTTAGATATGGCTGGAGGGGCGCTGTCCTCTCTGGCCATTGGCAGTCACTTCTGGGAAGCTCTAACAAAAGGAATTTGTCTTCTTCCTAGGAAGCTGACCCAAATCTCAACAGCCTACCATGACCAATGTGTACCAGCCGCTGTGTGCCTGGTGCCATCAGCTGTGACGAGCAGCTGCAAGGAAGACAGCGGCCTGCCAGCCGTGAGGACAAGGTAAAGGGTCTCCAGGGACCTTGTAGAAGCCTGGAGTGGGGGTGGAAGTGGAGGACAGGAAGGAAAAATTGGGGAAAAAAGGACTAGAGGACCCAATTCTCCCCACACGGCCCCGGGACACCCACAGGAAGCCAAGACCCAGGAGGCTGTCCCTTCTTCCGCACAAGAGCTTGGAGGCAAATGGAAAGTCAGCACCAAACGGCAAATAACTTTTCAGACACCCTCACAGCCTTGTGAATGGAGGTGACACCCACTTTCCAACTGGGAATCCTCAGCCCCCACAGCTGGCCCCACTCCCAGGAGCATGAATCTGCTTTGGCCTGGAAACCGCACCAACGTTTGCTCCGTGCGTGGGGCCGAGGGAAGGGGATGACAGAGGGAGGAATGTAGTCTGGCCACAGGCTGAGGAATGCCTAATGACAGCCCTGTCAGGCTTCTCAGGAAAAAATAACAAAACAAAGAACCCAACCAACTCAGAAGTAAGCCATCTGCCTCCCTGGAAGCCCTAACCTGACAGAGAAAGTAATACCTCAGTGTGAATTAATTTACGATGAGTCAGTAAGGATGGGGACCCTCGAGGGAAGAACAGCCCTCCCGGGTTGGGCAGGGGAGGAGGCAGGGGGGCCCCAGCACTGAAGCTGAGGTGGGGGAGAGCAGGATTTCTCACAGCCCAGCTCCAACCACAGATGCAAAATGGACACAGCTCCTGGAAACAGCATGGGTTGGGGGTTCCGGGACAGCGGCCACGGCCTCTCCTCCCATGCTCCCGGCCTTCTCTTCCAGGCCTAACATCTGCAGTAGAAGCTACATGGCCAGTAGCAACTCCAGTCCCGTGGCCCTGGATGTGTGGGGTGGCTGCTGATCTGATGTTTTCAGAATGGACCTCCTCAGAGGTCAAGGCCAAGCCACAAGGCTTCCCTGTCCAAAAGGCAAAGTTAAAATGCCACACAAACAACAGTGATGACCACTAAGGAGACAGATGGCTTGAGAGTGGAGTCTGAGGGTGCGGGAGCTCAGGCTAACCCCCATCCTGCCACCAGCTCCAGCAAATTACTAACTTCTCTGTGCCTCAATTTCCCCTTTGCAAAATGAAGGTTATATTATCACATACTTTAGCACATACTTTAAAATGGTCTCATGAGGGCTCAGCATGGTGGCTGACACCTGTAATCCCAGCATTTTAGGAGGCCGGGGCAGGTGGATCACTTAAGGCCAGGAGTTCAAGACCAGTCTGGCCAACAAGGTGAAACCCTGTCTCTACCAAATATACAAAAATTAGCCAGGCATGGTGGCCCATGCCTGTAATCCCAGCTACTACTCAGGAGACTGAGGCAGGAGAACTGCTTGAACCCAGGAAGTGGAGGTTGCAGTGAGCCAAGATTACGCCACGGCATCCCAGCCTGGGCAACAGAGCAAGACTCCATCTCAAAAAAAAAAAAAAAAAAAAAATGTTCTCAAGAGGATTAGAACGGTTATTACAAGCTAAATGCTTAGACTTTTGCCAGGCATGTAGTAAATGCTAGAGAACATTAGCTATAATGATGAGGAAGGTGACGACGATACGGAGGGTGGTAATAACTTTGGGGTGACTCCAGGGCTCTGTGATGGAGCACTACAAGGCATGACCAGGAAGTGTGGATTCCTCCAGAGGTAAGATGGCTTCTGCAGGACGTGGAAGGCAGAAAGCCCCAATTCATGGTCATATGAGTGAGACAGTCAGCACCTGCCCTTCATGTGGCCCAACAGGGGGGCCTGGGTCCTCTTCTGTCCCTATCTCCATGATGCAGCCAGACTCTGTCTCTCCCAGGGTCTTGCCCATCACTTTTCCTGTCTTCCCTGCCTTCTCCTGCAATCCTCCCTGCTGTCTTCTCTCTGGAGCTGACACTCACCCTCACACCAACCAACAGCATTTCTACCTTTACGACTCTGTGTTCAAGCCAGGCATGTTGGTGCACGCCTGCAGTATTGGCTATTCAGGAGACTGAGGCAGCAGGATCTCTTGAGCCCAGGTGTTCAAGGCTGCAGTACGCTATGATTGTGTCTGTGAATAGCCACTGTGCTCCACCCTGGGCAACATAGCAAGACCCCAGCTTAGAAAAAAAAAAAAAAAAAAACTCCACCGGCTCACGCCTGTAATCCCAGCACTTTGGGAGGCTGAGGCAGGTGGATCACTTGAGGCCAGGCATTTGGGATCAGCCTGGCTAACATGGTGAAACCCTGTCTCTACTAAAAAAAAAAAAAAAAAAATACAAAAATTAGCCGGATGTGATGGGATGTGCCTGTAATTCGGCTACTTGGGAGGCTGAGGCACAAGAATTGCTTAAGCATGGGAGGCGGAGGCTGCAGTAAGCCAAGATCATGCCACTGCACTCCAGCCTGAGTGATGGAGTGAGACCCTGTCTCAAACCCAAAACAAACAAACAAATAAAAACTGTACCCTTAAGCTAGCAAAATAATAATTTTCAAAAGTAATTAAACCATATCGATGATGAGAAAATGGTAAATGTCAAGAAGAGTGAAATGGGAAGGAAAGAGGGAGCTGGGGAAACAGGGGAGAAGAAGGGTACAATTTAAAATAAGATGACCGATCTAGCACAGTGACTCACACCTGTAATTTCAGCACTTTAGGAAGTTAAGGTTGGCAGGTTGCTTGAGCCCAGTAGTTCAAGACCAGCCTGGGCAACATAGTCAGACCCCATTTCTACAAAAAATACAAAAATTAGCTGGGTGTGGTGATGTGGGCCTATAATCCCAGCTACTTAGAAGCCTGAGGCAAGAGGATGGAGTGAGCCTGGAAGGTCGAGGTTGCCGTGAGCTGTGATCATGTCACTGCACGTCAGCCTGGATGACAGAGCGAGACCTTGTCTCCAAATGAAAAAATAAAATAAAATGAAAAGAAAACCTTATGACCCTTGCAAGGGCTTTGGCTTTTTCCCCAAATCAGTTGAGTTTTAAGCAGAGGAACCACATGCTCGAATTGGTGTAGTTTTAAAGGACCCTTCTGGCTGCTGGTTTGAGACTAGGTAATAAGGAGTTACGGTTGGGAATGGGGAGGAGCAGTTAGAAAGCCACTGGAAGAACCCAGGTGAAGAGGAGATGGCGCACGGGCCCTGGGGGGTGGTGTGGTGGTGTGGGATGTGCTAAGATCCATTCTGAAGGCAGCAATGAATCTGTTGCTGACGAGGGGTTAGAGGAAGGGGTCAAGAATGCCTCTCAGCTTCTTGTCTGAGTGACTGGAAGGATGGTGTTGTCATTTCCTGAGACAGGAAGGGCTGTGGAGGCACCGATGAAGGGCCGGAAGAGCTGGGTTTGGACCTGGAAAGTTGGAGATACCCGCTGAACCCCCAGGTGGAAACAATGAGTAGGTGGTTGCATCCAGGAGAGCAGGTGCTGGCTGGAGACAGAACAAAGAAGTCCTGGATGCCAGGAGAAGAGACAGGCTCCAGGGAGGAGAGAGCAACCAGTTGTGCTGTTGGAAGGGGAACACTGAGAGTCCGCCATTGGGTTGGATCTGGGAGTTGCATGTGACATTGTCGAGGGCAGCTTTGGTGAAGTGAGGGGTTGGGCAGCCTGCTGGCGGAAAAGGAAGAGATGGCAGGGAGAGTCAGTGTTTCAGGAGTTTCACTCTATGGGGAAGCATAGATGATGGCTGGAGGAGAGAGGGAAGGGATCAAGAGAGGAGTTTTTTAAATGGGAGAAATAACTCTATTTGCATGGTGATGAAAGTGATCCATGAGGGAGAGGGAAATTGGCAAAGCGATATTTGCACTAGATTGTATTCTGCTCTAGATGGTCGGAACATGGGTGATTTTTGTTTTCTCCTTGTGCTTTCCACTATTTTCCAAATTATCTAACATGAATATTTATTAATTTTGTAATCAGAAAAAAGCCATTAAAATCCACAGAGCTGATTGCTCAAGTGAAGCTTTTCCATGGTGACTCATCCTAGGGGGAAAAAAAAAACAACCAAAGGGCTGAAAAGAACGAGGAGGTGAAGAAAAATTAAATGCAAATAGAGCTCGCTTGGAATCAGATAATTTCTTGCCTGGCCCGCTGCAATTTCCTCACCACCCTCCTGCCTGTCAGTCTCTCCCTGGCCCTGTCCCCAACTCAACACTCTCACTGTCAGGGTGGGTTTTCTGAAATGCAAATCTGATCATGTCAAAGCACCTCCGGTGGGTCCCCCCTAGTTTTCAGGATAAAATCCTGACCTCATCTCATGGTGGAGGACACTCTTTGCAATGGGGTCTGGCCTCATCGCCAGTCGCAGTGGGGGCCCCCCTTCCTCTGGCCAGCCCCCCTCACCTGCTCTTCAGCACACCGTAATTACTGCCTTCTCAGAAGCACGGCGTGCAGTGCCTCTTGTATGCGCTTCCATAGCAACGGCCCTCACTCCATCAGCCACTCATCCACTCCATTGTAATCACCGATTTACTTCCCTCCATCCCCATCCCCCCCACCCCCCTCCACCCTCCATCTCCCCTGGATACAGGGCCAGGTTTTTATCTCTGTGTTTCTAGCCCCTTGCCCTATGTGCAGCACACAGTAGGCCACTCTGTGTCTGGGAGCAGAATGAATGGCCCTGCCTCATGTTTCTCAAGCATCCCTCTGATCACAGGGCAGAGGGAGGGAGAGATTCCAAAATCTCCCCTGCCTCTGGCAAAAGGGAAAACCAGCATCGAGGTTTTCCAGCCTGGTCCTGGCCACCAAACACGACGACTCCTCTTTCCTTTCTTCCTCCTAATGAATGTCCAGTAATTCCACTGACACTTATGAATCCCCAACAGAGCGGCAAGTCCTACCATAGGTGCTGGGGTAGAAAGATGGATGCGGAGCGTGGAGCTGGACCTTCACTGAGGGGAAGGGCCAGGGGAACAAAGACTGACATATGAATAACGTCGTGCCTGTCCTGAACACCCCAACAGAGCAAGTCATTCAGCAGACAACCGCTAAGGGCCCACCCTGCAGGGGCATTGCCAAGTACTTGGCTGAGGAGATCCAGAAGACAGGGAGATATTGGACCCCTGCCTCTGTATCTGAAATACAAGACTGGACGCCAAAACCTGAGGGGTGCGAAGCCCTTAGGTCCTGTTAACAAATCTCAGCTTCCCTCCTCCTGGACCCCTCCCCATCATCAACCACAAATCCACACAACAGCCACCCCCAGCCCTGGCTCCCTCTAAACCAAAATATGATCATAAGTATGGCAGTGAGCACTTGATCATTGCAGGAAGAGTTAGTGAAAATCCTGCCTGGCTGGATCAAGGCTAAGAGGTCACAGCATTTTCCTGAGAGGGAGGGCAAAGCGCTAGAGGGACTCGGGGCTGCAGATGTGGCGAGAGCCCTTAGGGGATAGTCAGAGGGGACTCTGGGGCCATCTCTGATGTGCAGAAATCAACAGAAAGTTTTTAGAGACCTCTGTGTATCTGTTTGCCAAATGCTGTGGAGTTCCCAGGGTGGGGCTGAACCAGGGAAATGGAAACTTCACAATAGAGGCCTGGGCTAAAAATGAGAATGAAGTTCTTTCTTTTGATGTGGTAGCCCCTTTTGTCTGTGGGAGTTGCCCCATTTTTGTTTGTAGGGGATTTAATTAGAGAACTATACCACCCCCACATGTTGAGCGGGAAACAGATGTGCCTGATGAGGGATAAAGGTCTTTGAAAGGACCGAAGTGCCCCAGCGCTGCACTCGCTCGCCTGGGAAAGGAATGCTGCCTAATGCGTTGATCCCTTGGCATGCGGTGTCAAGTGTGTGCACCCCGCCCAGGGAGGCTCTGTGTTCCCACACTCGGAGCCCTCAGGGGAGATTAGCGCCATACAACAAGGATGGGAATGAATCTTTATGGATACAGTTCCACAGGTACATAGCCAGCAGCAGCAGCTGCAGAAAGATGCAGCGGGTCGGGGTGGGGGAAACTTAACCAAGGAGTGGTACCCACAAAGATCTCTAGGAAGGAGGCTGTGCTACCACCACCTTTCAGGGGCTTTTGAGGATATTCCAGAAAATAGAACAATTGAAACAGAATTTTACAATGTTAAGAAAAGACGCAGGGAAAGCAGCAGGGAGACTGGGGTGTCCAGGATGAGGGCTACTTGCCCTACCCAAGAGTGGGTCTACAGCTGCTTCTCCCAAAACAGTTCCTCTGGGAGAATCCTGCCTGGGGAAGATGCCCCGTGCCGAGAGCCATACAGTGGAGGTCAGGGGAAGGAAGCCACACCAGTGTTTTCTCTGCTTCTTTCACCATTTCCCACTTCTCTAGAGTAAAGCAGTTCCCCCGGGTACTGGATGGCTGAGACATAGCAGGAACAGGAGGGAGCGATCAGATAAGCAAAGGAAGAAGCTATCCAGGGCACCTTCCCACGATGCCCCGGGAGAACCCAGCTGAACCCTCCCGCCTCCATTCTCCCCGAGCCTTTGCTGTTTGTTAGCTGCAAATCCGTCCCCAGGAGGACTCATCACGGGCACCCTCTCCACTCCCACACTGTGAGTGCTTCCCCCATGAACTCTGTCCTAGCTTCGGAGTCTTTCTGAGAAGCGTGTGGTTCACTTCCTTCCACAACATGTTCACAAATACACCGATGGAGACCCAAAAACAGCATGTCCACTTTTAGCCCTGAGGACATGTCCTCTATGCTGGCCCCACCCAGAAAGGGAGGCGGAAGGCAGTGCCCCAACGGGCGCAGGGCCTCACCTGGATGTCCTTTATCATGATGCTGTAAGCGAGGCCATGGGACTCCAGATAAGCTTTGATGTCTTTCAGTTCAGAGAATGGAACTCTCATATCCACAGGGAGGCTGGGTCTGGCAGGGCCACGCCAGAAGTCCACCTTGTTCACCAAGGACAGAGAGACAGGCCCATTGATTACTCCATGTCCTTCCACACCATCCTGTAGATGACCCCAGAGAACCAGTAGACCCTCTTTCTATGCAGGAGATGGGGACAGGGGTGATGTCCCAAGGCCCCCAGCAGATGCCTGAAACAGCAGATAGTACCAAACCCTATATATACTATGTTCTTTCCTTATACATACAGACTTAGGATAAAGGTTTTCTTTTTTTCTTTTTTTGGGGGGAGTGGGATGGGGGATGGAGTCTCACTCTGTCACCAGGCTGGAGTGCAGTGGTATGATCTCGGCTCACTACAACTTCCACCTCCCGGATTCACGCAATTCTCCTGCCTCAGCCTCCTGAGTAGCTGGGATTTCAGGCACCCGCCACCATGCCCAGCTAATTTTTGTATTTGTAGTAGAGACAGGGTTTCATTGCGTTGGCCAGGATGGTCTCGATCTTTTGACCTCGTGATCCACTCGCCTTGGCCTCCCAAAGTGCTGGGATTACAGGCGTGAGCCACTGCACCCAGCCTAGGCTTTTTTTCAATTTGTTATTTTTGTGGGTACATAGTAGGTATATATATTTATGGGGCATATGGGATATTTTGATACCAGTATGCAATATGTAATGATCAAATCAGGGCGAATGAGGTGTCTGTCACTCAAGCATGTATTCTTTGTGCTACAAACAATCCAAGTACACTCTTTTAGTTCTTTTTAAATATGTAATTAAATTATTATTGACCATAGTCACCCTGTTGTGCTATTAAACACTAGATTTTATTCACTCTTTCTATGTTTTTGACAGACCTATAATAAAGTTTCACTTATAATTTTTTTTTTTGAGATGGAGTTTTGCCCAGGCTAGAGTGCAATGGCATGATCTCAGCTCACTGCAACCTTTGCCTCCCAGGTTCAAGCCATTCTCCTGCCTGAACCTCCTGAGTAGCTGGGACTACAGCCACAAGCCACCATGCCCGGCTAATTTTTAGTAGAGACAGGGATTCACCATGCTGGCCAGGCTGGTCTCAAACTCCTGACTTCAAATGATCCGCCCTCCTTGGCCTCCCAAAGTGCTGGGATTACAAGCGGGAGCCACCGCACCCGGCCCTAACTTATAAATTAGTCACGGTAAGAGATTAAAAACAATAACTAATAATAAAATAGAGCAATTATAACAAATGCCAGCATCACTACTCTTGTGCTTTGGGGCCATTATTAAGTCAAATAAGGGTTAGACAAACAGGAGCACAGTAACACCGAGGCAGTCGGTCTGATGGCCGAGATGGCCACTAAGTGACTAAGTGACTCAGGGAGGGGAGTGTGGACAGCGTGCAGGTGCGAGACTTCATCACGCTACTCAGAGCAGCATGCAATTTAAAACGTATGAGTTGTTTATTTCTGGAATTTTCCATGTACTGTTTTTGGTTGACTGCAGATCAGGAGGGACTACTACACACTTAAAAGGGCCCCAGTTCCACGATGAAACCCTCAGGCTGAGCGGAAAGAAACAAAATCCCCAAGGCACTGAGGTTCTGTCCCTAATTTCAAGCCCTGTTGCCTCTACACCTCTCATAACCCACCGCAACTTCGCCTGGATCCAGAGAGCCCTGAAGAGCTCCTGGCTGGGTGCGGTCGCTCATGCCTGTCATCCCAGCACTTTGGGAGGGAAAGTGAGCGGATCACCTGAGGTTGGGAGTTCAAGACCATCCTGACCAACTTGGAGAAATCCCCGTCTCTATTAAAAATACAAAATTAGCCGAGCATGGTGGCACATGCCTGCAATCTCTCAGGAGGCCGAGACAGGAGAATCGCTTGTACCTGGGAGGCAGAGGTTGCAGTGAGCCGAGATTGCGCCACTGCACTCCAGCCTGCGAAAGAAGAGTAAAACTCTGTCTCAAAAAAAAAAAAAAATTTCTCAATGCAAGGCCGCTCATCATCTGGGACATGAACATGGACAAGCAACTGGTCAGGAAAGGGAGGCCTCACTGCTCCCACCCCTGCAGAAGTAGTAGAGGCCAGATCCGGGTCCCTAGCTCAGCCTTTTGCAACACCTGTTTTCAATTAGTAAGATGGAGAGAATGGTCATAAAGCATCATGAGTCCCGGTCGACGGGGACACTCAGACAAGTAGGAGCACAAGGACTTCTGCCACAGCCAGGAGTATCTGGTGGTTCCAACGGCCCCCTGACAAAACTCTTTTATGTAATAGTCCAAGTAAAAGAAAATGTTTTCCATTGTGAAAACCTGCAGAGGACAAAAGTTCTCAGGAAAGATGCTCAGGCTGACGGGGACCAACCCAGATAAAATCCAGGTTTGCCAAGCTAGGCCATTTCACTTGGGAGGCCAGTTTGTCCAGTCTCCATGCTGGGTGGCATCCCACCCAGAGACACTGTGCCCCCCCCCCATGTGGCTTTAGGAAATTCCCGCCGTTTGGAGATTGGTGCCCTGATGGCTCGTAGCAGCCCCCTATCCTGAAGAGAGCGGGTGGCTAAAGGAGCCACAGCCTAAAAAGGCAGCCTACATTTCCGGGCAGGTGTTTCTGATTTTTCCCAAAGAGGAGCCACCTGTGATTTCCCACAGGTCTGTGCTCTTTGCAGGGCCCTCAGGAGGGCAGGTTTGGGGTGACTGGGGCAGGACAAGGAACTGAAGTTGTGAGCTGCTGCAGGGGGCGGGGATGTCCCCAAGCCTGACAAGTCCTCACCTTCTGGGGCTTCAGGACCTCCAGATCCCTGAGAAGTGAAAGCTGCTTCTCATCTCTGGCCAGGACTCGAAGAACCTGGTCCCTAGAAAAACACAGAGGGGGCAGAGGAAGCTGCGGAGAAGGATCCCTGGAAGGCTGTGTGTGTCATTTGGATGGGGCCGAGTGGAGCATAGGCCCAGCTGAGGGCGCCTGGCAGGAAGGCCGGGAGGCTTCTTGAGCGGGGGCTGAAGGAGCCCTGAGCAGGCAGGATGCGCAGGCAGCCCTGAGAAGCACGTGTTCCCTCAGCCTAGAGTCAGTAAGCTCTCCAGCCCCCAGGACAGACCACCCAGAGGCTAAATAAAGCTTGTCAGTGCTACTGATGGACTGAAGGCCAAGCCAGGGGAAGAAGGAATGGACAGGAATGTGGAGGGAGTGGTGTGTGGAACTGAAGGCATGAGGGGGAGAAAGGAATGGACACAGGGCTGCGGGGACCAATGGTGGCCCCAAAGGCTCTTCACATGGGAGCCCCAAGGCCATGGTCTGTCTCAACGCTGGGAAGGTAGATCAGATAACCTCACCTCACCTGACAGGGAGGAAGTTGAGCTCCTTCCCTTGCCAGTGGAGGCGGGTGGGAGGTGGGGTAACCAAGAGTCCCGTGGTGCGGTCCGACGCCTGGGATGGGGTTGGTGCCCTTGCTGGCTGGCCCTGAGACCGTGGGTGAAGAACTCCCTCTCTACGCTTGCTGTGCCTCCTCTTCTCTACTGTGGAGTGCCATGAGGCATCCAGCTCAGGACCTCGGGGAGGCTCAAAGCACATCCACAGAGGGCCTGGCATGTGATTTACTAGAACTTCCCATCATCCATTTTTGGTAAGGAACGTAATCTTGTGCGGGCTACAACTTCTTTGAGAATTGGAGGAAAGCTATGAATGCTTCCTCCCCAAAGAAGCCCCCACTGTATAGGAAAATCATTGCATGTGGTTTCAGGGGATCTTGGAGCCCCGGGGGCCTCCTCCTGGACTCTGGATTTGGGGAGGACTGCCAAGCAGCTAGCCCTGGAGCATGAGAGTGGGAGACTGCAGAGCTGCAAGTGGGTTCAGGACAGGAACCCACATCCTGACTCTCTGCCTCCATCAGGCACCAGTGGGGCGGCCACCTCCTGCTGGGACATCCGGTCCCCTCCTCCCTCCTGCTGCCGGGCAGCCACTCACCCTGTGAAATTCATTTGGCCCAAAGCCACTGCCAGGGTAAAGCTGAAGATCAGGAGAATCTGCCTGTCCACGGGGGACGGTCCAGGGCGCGTCTCTCCTCCAGGGATGCCCGGCATGCTTATTCCTCCTGGAGAGCTTCAGGGGCTTTCCTTGTGCACCATGGCCCAGGCCTCAGGACAGCGCAGCACCTACAGACTGGAAGCCCGACCCAAGAATGAGCATTAGGCTCTCTGGGGGACCCAGCATGTGGCCCCCACATGCCAGGTCTTGGGAGAGCCAGGGCTGCCCCCCCCCAACCCAGCACATCCTCTCCTGGGAAGGGGAGAGGGAGGAGAGAAGGAGGAAGACAGGCCCTTCGCTTTTCTTTTCTCTCGGGAGGTTTGCCAGGCCAGCCCTTTCTGAGCAACAAAGCCTCCATCTCTGGAGAAAGACCAGAGTAGCCAGCAGCCCTGGGACACCCCTTCTTTCCTCCTCCTCCATGGCATGCTCTCTTTTGCGCTTGTTCTCCCCACGACCCAGTCACTTTCCCTGTGCCATATCCTCTTTACACATAAGGGTGTGACGCCATTGCAAGACCGCTGGGCTTACAGACAGAGACTGGGAATTCACTTCCCGTCTAAAAGATCTGGAGCAGCTGCCCTAATCTCTCTAAATCTCAGTTTACTCATCCATCAAATGGGGTTAATCATACCTCCCCTCCCTAGCTCACAGGGTTTAGAGTGGTATTAGATGAGACAACTTGAGTGAATTGGCTTGGTAAAGCCTGCAAAATGCAATGTGTTATTATTTCAAAAGCATTCACTCTTAGTCACAGCCGCATTTGAGGTCAGCCCTCCAACGAAGAGAAGGGGAAGAGAAGAGAACAAAGGAAATAACTATGTATTGTCTGAGAAGGAATTCAATCAAGATTCCCTTTTCTCTATCTTCAGGTGGTCACCATTGTGCTAGCACAGATCGTGCGTTTTCTGCTAGACACGAAGGTCACCGCAGTCATTATTATAGTTCTCAACAGACAGCAGAGTCAATTTCTCAGTCCTGCTGAAGCCCCACACAGTTCCCTTTACAGTCTGGGAATCGCAGAAGTAAAGCAGGGGCCAGCACACAAAGCAGTCATATTGGAAGGAGAACGTGAAAGATGATGCCTGAATGGCAAATGATGAATCTAACAGAAAATCCACAGGGGGTGGGGGAAAGGCAGAGACTGAATCCAACCAAGTCGTTCAGCAGACGACATCAACAAAAGGCCACTTAACTGTCACCGGCGAGTCTCAGAAGCCCCCCTCCCCAGCCATACTATCCCAGAATGGCCAATTAACTGGCCATGTGTGCAGGGAAGGGAGCACTTTTATCGACAGAATGCACGGTTCCCCCGCCCGCCTACCCTACTCCATTATTTTGTAGTTCAGCTGTTCAGACACGCCAGACTCTCCTAGAACCCTGGCTTTGGGGACTCTCAAACAGCAAAGTTTGCAAAGGGTTTAAGGACCTAGAAAAGAAAGCAGTTACGCTTTCCACCCAAGTAACATTCAGCTTCAGTAGCAATGGAAATAAAAGGGAATTTCAAAGGAAAAAAATGGAGATGGTGCTAGTCACCAAAAGAACCCAGCGCCTTCTCGTTCAAAAACATCATTTTAAGCCACTAATAATGAGACAGCTATCCCTGTACTTGGCTTAAGGGTGGGAATAGAGCGAGAGAGCAAGAATGAGGGCAAGAGAGAGAGAGAGAAGCAGTTAGGAATTTTTGAGAATTCTATGACACAGCTTCCAATAGAACTTTCTGTGACAATGGAAATGTTCTGTGTCCAAGAGGATAGCCACTAACCACTTGAAATGTGGCTAGTGTGACTGAGAAACTGAGTTTGGGGTTTTATTTAACTTTAATTAATTTAAATAAAGTTTAAATAGCCACATGTGGCTACCATACTGGACAGCAGAGTTCTACGGGAATTCACCAACCATGAAAGAACCATCTCCAATGGCTGGATTTGTTTTTGGTTTTTCTTCCTCTAAGTTCATGTTAGACGGGTAATGTGCTGACATCGTAACAAGGTTTGAGGGTGACACATCTCACACATGCGTGCGTGAGCACCCAATTATGCTTATGAACTACAATTACCAGCTTATGGCTGGGTTTGAAGCAGACACATAGCTATGCTTGACCTAATACCTCATGTTGGCTTTTCATTCATAATTAATTATTCAGCTAATCATTTACTCAGTAAATTTCCGCTAAATACCTACTATGTGCCAGGCCCTTACTAAAGTCTGGAAGTAAAATAGAAAGCAACACATACCTGGCCCTTACATTTCTAAAGGGGTAAGTAGACCATGAATTTAAATAGCATGCAGATAATGAGTGACCTGGAGACATAATGGTAGCCCATCTGACTCCAGGTAAGTGTAAAAATATAGCTGGTGTTTGTGCTACAAGGGAAAGGTGCATCGTACCACGTGGATGTGTCACATGGGCTCCATATAGACTGAAGGAGAGTTTCCTTCAATTAGAAATTTTATTGGAAGGCTTTTATTTCCTGCAGGTGGGTGGGTTAGATACCTAAGCAATCCTATCCAAATGAAAAACTCAAATGCAGGATAAAATATTTTTAGTAACAACTTTTTAAAGCCATCACTGGGTTGGCACAAAAATGAGAATCTACAGATCCCAAAAAGAAGGAAAAGCCAGGCAGACACCCAAGAGGTAAGCAAGCTTTGCCTCAGAGAACTCAGAATGCTGAAGGTTTTGATTATCCTACTAGCATGTACCATGTATCTTGAATCATCTTCCCGCTGCTTCAAATCTATCTTTTCAAACCTTCCTTTAGTGAAGGTTTCTGTTTTTATTTATTTGAAAATTCTTTGCCAGGTGTGGCAGCTCATGCTGGTAATCCCAGTGCTTTGGGAGACCAAGGCAAGAGGGGCCCAGGAGTTTGCTTGACCCCAGGAGTCCAAGACCAGCCTGGGCAAGTCAAGGAGACCCTATCTCTGCAAAAATGAAATAAAATAAAATTAGCTGGGCATGGTGTAGCATGCATCTGTAGTCCTAGCTACTTGAGAAGCAAGCAGATCAATTGAGCCCAGGAGTTTGAGGCTGCAGTGAACCATACTCCAGCCTGGATGACAGAACAAAAACCTGTCTAAAAGAAAAAAAAAAAAGAAAAGAAAGAGAAAAAGGAAAGGAAGAAGAAAGGCAAGAAAAGAAAGAGAGGAAGGAAAGAAAGGAGAAGAGAAGGGGAGAGGAGGGGAGG